CATGAAATGACATGTTACTCTCTTAGAAGAGTGCACAAATTTTCAATTCAAACAAAATTAACTTAGACAGGAAACCAAAACTTAGAGTAAGACATAGAGTAAGAAGAACTTGGCCCAGGTTCTCAAATTAGTAACTAATAGAGTCAACTTTCCAAACACAGACTTATCCATTGCCATTTTTTCTAGCCTACAGATATCTCAGTTACCATTTTAAAGCATAATTTTGCTTTAAAACTAAGAAACATTATTCTATATCTGGTTTATATTCTTACTTAATCAAGCAGTAATGATAATTCTTCACATTATAAATACATAGCCTTTTATGACTTTCAAAACATGTTTACATTCTCATAGTAATCCTGTAAGATGGGAAGTGATAATGATCCTGACTTATATGTGTGAAGAACTGAGACTCAAACAAACAAACAAATGTAAATTTTAAAATTTTATCAAAATGGTCCTGAGTACTTGAGCCCAAAATTGCAAAAGCATGCAGGGCATAAAAATGCTAACCAAAAAGGTCAAATGGGAGATAAGACATTAGTGGCTTGGAGTGTGTGGATAATGGTATATTATATTGATGAACAGCAGGAAATACAAAAGTATTTTGGCTATGGGGCCACTGTCACCTCAAACCAGTGCCTCATAGATTTCTTTTTGCAGGCTTTGTGTGTTATGGCCCTGGGGAAAACAGGTGATTTAAACATAGCTATCTTTCAAAGCTGTTCATTGCATTCAACCCAAACTTATTTTAAACTTCTACCATAAATACTGGGAGCTCTGGTGGCATAGTACCTAAGGCATTTGACTGCTAACCAGAAGGCTGGTGGTGCAAACCCACCAGCCGCTCCTCGTAAGGAAGGTTGGACAATCTACTTCCGTAGTGATACCACCTCGGAAACCTAAGGAAGGGTTGCTATGAGTGGGATCCAACTCCACGCAGTGTGTTACGGTTACCGTTGCATTTAAAATTGCATAGCATTCCATTTATCACAACAGCTTGGCACAAGTGCTATTAGCATTTTCTTTCAGGAGCTCCCTATTTCATCTGAGTGTGTTGATTCTTCCTCTGTCTCTTCTCTTTTCCTGTTGTTCTCCTCAGCCTACACTCAGACTGATTTTTTTTCCCCCTCATTTATCTCAGTTCTGAAGAAATAAGATCTTTTTCTGTATGGGCCCTAGGATTAATTCCTTACTTCAGATTGAAACTTTGCTGCTCTAATCACCTGAACCCCTCCATAAATATATCCCCTTAACAATATCCATAAACATTTCTTAAAACATTTTTTTCCATATTTGCTTTTTATCATTTTTACTTGTTCATTAAGTCCATTTGATTGTTCCCGTTTTATTTTTAAAGAAACCAAATTATAGAAAGCTCATGAGACTGGCTTCAAATATAAGCCAAAGTCAGAGTTCAAATTATTCTTTATTATCCACAAGTTTCTACTTCATTAGAAGAAGTCCCTAAGGTACAAACAGATTATGTTCCAAAAATTCATTTGTAAGTCACTTATTTGGCACTTGAACTTCATTTTACCACAGTGGGGAAAAAAAAATTATAAAGGGTGATTAGGTCCCTCCACTGGCCTACAAAAATCTGTTTAACTCTTATTTAACTAAGAAATGATACATTTGCAATAAGAATGAAAGAGAATGATAGTTATAATTCTGGTTACAAAGAAAAAATAAAATAAAATGTATTTCTCCTGAGGAAAAGCAGATTTAATTAGAAGATAGTGAAACATGAAAATTGTGGAGAGTATAAGGGGAGCATTTAGGGACATTTTCATGGCTGTTAGAGATTGAAGGCTCTCTGTTTGAAGTTGAGTTTCACCTTAAAACCTGCAGGGTTTTTTTTTTTTTTTTTTTTTTTTTTCTACATAGTACAAATAAGACATGCACAAGTTTGTTAAGTTTTTTTTTTTTTTTGTGGTCAGACACTTCTCACAAGCATAACTCACCCTATGGCTATGATTACAGTAAGATTGTATTAAATAATTTTTTAAAAATACATTATTTTAGACAGTGTTAACCAACCTGAAATGGTAAAAAACAAGCCAACAAAACAGAAAATAAATATTCCCTATTTCCATCCTCCTGATGGAAAGGAAAGGAGGGGATCAGAGGAAGATGTTGATTTTCGCATTCAGCCAACAGATCCCATTAGTTAGGATGGCCTAGCTGGGGTCTGGAGAGAAAAGGTGGGAGCATGGGTTGCAGGTGGAGGTTAGAGAAAGTGTGAGTACCTAGTGATTTGTGTGTGTTGAGTATTTATACAATGAGAGTTTCTAATTCTGGAATATAACTGCCTTTATCTCATCTAGTGATTGCTTCCTGTATTATTAGACTGTCTTACACTTAAGCATACAGATAAGCATCTCATGTTTCAGTTAATTTTAAAGAAAGTTTAGGGCTTCTTTAAATGTCCTTTAGTAAATAAATAAACAAGCACACACATAATGCACACATATAATGTATATATATATAATACGTACAACATACATGGGGTGTGTGTGTATATGTGTGTGTGTGTGTGTGTGTAAAGCATTTGCATACAGCTTTCACTTTTTATAACAACAAAAGAGAATATATTCTTTGGTAAATAGAGGATTCAGTGAGAAGATCTTATTGACATAGTACATTAAGGAAATGGTGGAAGAAGGATTAGAGTTTGTGCCTTCTGGGCCAAATTAAAGCCTTTCCATTATACTTGTCCTGCCTTCCCACTAGTTAGATAATACATTTGACTACTATTGCTTTGTGTTGAGTATATTATCTGAACCCTTTATTCTGAGTATTTACACCTAAGAGTGATTTAATGGAGAGAACAACTGTTTTTATAGTACAACAAGTCAAAATTTCTCTCCACAATCATTATAAAAAGAAGTTTGGGATTGGTGGGCCACTTTGAAAAGTCATGCTGAAGATTGATGACAGAAGTAATATGTACTTGATTTTATTTACGTTTTAAGCTTTTAAATGTTTCTTCATTTGTAAGGAAACTTTAATGTCCACAGTAATTTGAATTCTTCATTTCTTATAGTGTTGATATCTGTATCACTGAATTTGTGTGTGTCTGAGGAATTTTATCAGAAAGGATAATAAATTAATAATGCTAACTTTGCATCCTAATGCAATGAATATCTTCTGAGTGTGAGTGTTTAGATTGAAACTATGCATTCTATTGGCATGTTCTCAGAAATGTCCCTGTTGAGTAATTTACATATAGGATGAAAATGTGCACAGGCCTCTTCCCTATGGGTGATCCAGGTTTACTGTGTCAGATTGCCATGTACTCACATTGAAAAGAGATGATCTTTTCAGGCTACGAGAGGTAGGGAGTACCACCTGGGAAACCCAAGAAGGAATTGCTGTAAGTCAAATTGACTCAATGGCAGTGAGGTTTTTTTTTTTTTTAAAGAGGTGGGGAGAGACTGGGAAGAGATTCTCCAGAAGCTTATTCTAGAATGCCATGCTAGAAGGGTTAGTGAGCCAAATTATGTTTTTCATTTTTCTTTGTTGGAGTTCATGTATAGATTAAATAGACTGATGGGATTTGATGGCCTGTTTTTCTTACTGTAAACTCCTGGATTTTGTGTGTATGTTGCCCAGGGGGTAGTGGGTAAGGGAAGAAGAGGGAGATTGTCAGATTTTGCTTTTGTCTGTCGGCTGGACAGAACCATGCCACCAGTAATTTGAGCATGTTAGGTTTACCTTTAGGAGCTCTGGTGGCATAGTACCTAAGGCATTTGACTGCTAACCAGAAGGCTGGCAGTTCAAACCCACCAGCCATTCCTTGGAAGGAGGGTTGGGCAATCTACTTCCGTAGTGATATTGCCTCAGAAACCCAAGGAGGGATCGCTATGAGATTGGAGCTTAAGACCCTTTAGTGAAAGAAAAAAAAAAAATTATTTAAAGTAAATCCGACCCACAGTATTTTTTTTTCTTCCTCAGGTGTAAGAAATGTTACCTGAGATAGCTAACATAGAAAAAAAATTAATAAATTCATAGTCAACTTAGGTGGCATGTTTATTCATTATTTTTCTAGGCATTTTATTCATTGGTTTAGAGGACAAAACTATTACATCTCATATTTAATTGCCATGATTCTTAGCTAACCTGATTAGTTTTAATTTTCTTTTGGTTATTCATGTTCTAGAGTTGAGTGACTTAGAAGAAGAATCCTGTTTTCTCACCCATCCACCCTCATGACATTGCTACATGATTGTAGGAACCAAGGCCCCAACAGAGCATGGTTTTTCTAAGACACAAGACATTATTAAGCTTATTAGAATTATTTTAACCCATACAGCTGATTACCCTCAGAATGGTCCTTCATTTTGCCCTTTACATCTAAATCTGAACAACTCAAGCATGATACTGTTAAAAAGTCAAAAGATGATTGATATTAGTGACCTTTATCCCCCCCATTCCAAAATGTTCTAATTTGTAACTGATTCTTGCACATCTAAGGAGCCCTGGTGGCATATATTGGTTAAGTGTTCAACTGCTAACTGAAAGGTTGTTGGTTCAAACCCACCCAGTGGGTGGTTCAAACCCATCCAGCAGCTCCACAGGAAAAGATGTGGCGATCTGCTTCTATAAAGATTACAACCAAGAAAACCCTATGAGGCAGTTCTACTCTGTGGCATGGGGCTGCTACCATCAGAATTGACTCAGTGGCACCCAACACCAGCAGCAACATTTGCATATCTGGAATAAGGAGGGGAAAAAGGCACTAAAGTGTAGAGGTGGAGGAGGGAAAAATGATTAATGGGGACAAGAGAGGGCTGTCGAGTCATGAATTACCTGGGAGGAAAGAACAGGAGAGCTTACGTGTTGGCTGGGTCTGTTGCAGATGCTGCTGGGTTTCCACTGCACTCTCACAGCTCCTCCAAGAACTCTCCAAGAGTTGTTTTAAAATATCTTACCTGTGCTTTCTACATGTTTGCCTGCCTGACCATAACTGGATGATTTTGCATCATTTCGTTTCTTAGGGTCAAAACTTTGGAGCATGGCTATGTGTGATGGAAACACTGATTTTGTGGTTCTGAGCAATGGCAGCATCACAACCAGTGCTACCAACCCTAGTCCCCTCACCCCCTGTGATGGAGACCTTACAGCCCAGCAGCTCGCACCCAAAGAAGCACCAAGAACAAAAGTGAGTCCAAATGGATGCCTACAAGTTAATGGCACAGTTAAATCATCCTTTCTGCCTCTAGACAACCAAAGAACGCCTCAGATGTTATCCCAATGCTGCCATCCTTGTCCATACCATCACCCTCTGACTAGCCATAATAGTCACCAAGAGTGCCATTCGGAGGCTGGCCCTGCAGCACCCTCTGCTTTGGCCTCGTGTTGCATGCAGCCACACTCAGAGTACTCTGCATCTCTTTGTCCAAACCATTCACCTGTTTATCAGACTTCGTGCTGTCTTCAGCCCCCTCCATCCTTCTGCCTGCATCATCCGTGGCCTGACCATTTTCAGCATCAACCTGTGCAACAGCACATAGCCAACATAAGGTGAGTGGTCTGGAAGTTTTACTGACCTTTGGGATTCAACTAATACCACATTCAACTAATGAATGTGATTGCTTGTGTTCATTTCCTCAAAAGGTGGAGAGAAATGTGCCAAGGAAAGAAAGCCAATGAAAATGAATAACTTGAGAGATTGTGGGAAGCCTATTAAAATGCAAATGAAATAACATTTTATCTGTTTTATCCACTGACTTCTTAGTCAATAATGCCCTTCCTTTTCTTTTCCATCTCTACATGCTGGTAAGGGGTCCCTCCTAGAACTTGAGTTGTGAAGTTCATTAAAAGATTTTATTGTTAGCAGTTTCTTTTATTACACATGGGAGATGTATTTGTAATGAGACTGCTAAACAGGAGTCCTTTATTTGCTATTCCTAGTGATCAACCTTTATGGAAAAGAAATGTAAAACCAGTTGCTTCTTTATGCTTCCGTATGGCTTATAATTTCTATTCATGTGATTTGGGTGACTATGTAATATATTGAGATGAAACATAGCAACTATTCCTTTCATAACAGATGAAACCTGGAAATTTTCAGATATGGTAGATGGAAAACTACTAGAAAAACCCACATCATTGTCAGTCTTCACCCCCACTGCAGGCCATATTTGCTCTATGTGATTTTCAGATATTTTTCCCACGGTTAAGTTAAGTGGCATGCACCACACATAAGCAATGATAATACGTTTCACAAAATACTAAGTTCTTTGTAGAGACCAAGTATTATTTTACTTTTTTAGGTAATTTTTTTTTTTAAATGAGCTAGAAGAAAGCATTCTCTTTTTAAAGTTGAGGTATAATTTATATACAGAGATGCACAGATCTTAAGTGTACAGTGTGGTCCTTCGTTTTGCCCTTTATCCTGTGTATGCATTTGTTAAAACTAATAAAACTGTACAATTAAAATCTCTAGTGGTGTAGTGCCTAAGGCGTTTGACTGCTAACCAGAAGGCTGGAGGTTCAAACCCACCAGCCATTCCTTGGAAGGAAGATGTGGCAATCTACTTCTGTAGTGATATTGCCTCAGAAGCCCATGGAGGAGTCACTAATTGTAGGAACGAACTCGGATCCGATTCAATGGCAGTGAGTTTGGTTTTGTTTTTTTGTCATAATATAGAACATTTCTATCATCCCAGAAAATTCTTTCATGCCCCTTCTCATTCACTTCCTCTTTCCTCACCAGAAGCAATCATTGTTCTGAGTGCGTCATAGATTTGTTTTGCCTGCTCTAGAACTTCATATAAATCAAATATATACTCTGTGTCTGACAGTTTTCACCCAGCATAATGTTTTTTGAGATTCATCTAATTATTTTATGTATTAGTTTTTCTTTTTGTTGCTGAGTAGTATTCCATATGTGCATGTAATAAATTCACTATTAAAAATTATATTGTTGTGATAAAAGTATATATAACAAAACATTTACTCTTCAATATTTTTACATGTACAGTTCAGTGACATTGGTTATGTTCATTGTGTTGTGCAAACATCACCACTCTGTGTTTCCAATTATTCCACCATTAACAGAAACTCAGTACACCCTAAGCAACTCCTCCTTTTCAGCTCCCTCCCACCCTTGGCAACCACTAATAAATTTTGGTCTTTATACTTTTCCTAGGAGCTCTGGTAGCATAGTGCCTAAGGCACTTGACTGCTAACCAGAAGGCTAGCGGTTCAAACCCACCAGCCACTCCTCGGAAGGAAGGTTGGGCAATCCTACTTCTGTTGTGATACTGCCTCGGAAACCCAAGGAGGGGTCGCTCTGAGTCGGGGCTGACTCTACGGCATATAACAACAACAACAACAACATACTTTTCCTATTTTTTTCTAAGTGGGATTATACATTATTTATCATTTTGTGACTGATTTATTTCACTGGGCATGATGGTTTCCAGATTCATCCATGTTCTAGTATGTGTCAGGACTTCATTTCTCTTTATGACTGAGTAATATTCCATTGTACTTATGTACCCCATTTTGTTTATCACTTATCTGTTGATGGACATTTAGGTTGTTTCCATCTTTTGGCTATTGTGAACAGTGCTGCAGTGAACATTGGTGTACAAGTTAGCAAATTCACTTTTAATTAAAGATTCATGTCTAGAAAGTAACAAAAGTGATAAATACTTTTCACCTTTATCAGGTTTTAGATGTTGTAGAGATTATCTGGTTTTATTCTTTTAGAGAGATCTAGAATATGAATTCCTCTGCAGCATGTTTTTACAGTTGTAGAAAGCTCTTTCCATACAGGATTTGAGAGCCTTTTATAGAATTATGGTAAAAAAAAAATTTCATGAAAGCCATTTCTTAGTGGTTGGTCTATTAAAAGGCTGATTTTAAATTATATGATCATAAAGATAGATGTTTTTGAATCATAAATTATGTGATTGCATAATATGAGTTAAGATGGATAGATTTTCCATTTTGAAGCTAATGTCTCTTTAACGAAGCTTCACAAATATTAAAACTACGGACATGTAACCAATTATTTCAACATGATAGGTTGTATAAAGATATTTAGGACTTTGACTTAGCATTTATCAATGACTTTAGTTTAAAGGAATGAGAGCTTATATATAACTTTAAATAGAATGTTACTAAAAGACAAACTAATAGAATGCCATATTTATCCATCAAGAAAAGTTGTAGAAAAATATGGAACATTGTGAGAGAAATTTTTCATATTCTATAATTTTATCTCAATAATAATACCTTTTAAAGATGCCTACAAAGGAATAATATGTGGCCAGTTGTATATATCACATGCTTTATTATGAAATGTGCACCTCAAGAATTACTTTCCAATTTTCTATAATATTTATTTAATCAGCAGTATTTACCAAATATCTATATGTGCCAGACACTGAAGATTTAATTCTAAACAGGATAAGACACTTTTCTCATCTCCATAAAGCTGTAAGCTAGTAGGAAGGGAGCCCTGAAGGCAAATAGGCAGCTACAGTACTATGATAAGGGCTACCAAGAGTGAACATGGAGGGCTGAAGATGAATAGAAGATACAGATGGAGAGAGACTGGAGAAGGGGATATCTTGCAGACAGTGGAACAGTTTGTACAAATGCTTGGAAGGTAGTATAAGCCCAGTTCCAGCATAGTTAAGATGACTAGACCCTGGAGGAGGAGGAGGAGTAAACAAAAAAAACTAAACCTGCTGCTACCAAGCTGATTCCAATTCATAGCAAGCCCATAGGGCAGAGTAGAATTGCTCCATAGGGTTTCCAAGGCTGCAAATCTGTACAGCAGCAGATTGCCACATCTTCCTCCTATGGAGTAGTGGAAGGCTTGGCGGGTTCAAATCACTGACCTTTTGGTTAGCAGCCAAATGGCTTAGCCGCTGCACTACCAGAGTTCCTGAGAAAGTAATAGCGAAGAAGAAATACCAGATCCAGAGAGACATTATAAACTAGAGATCTCTAGGGCAATGGGGAGCTACTATAGATTTTTAAGGTAAAAAATAGCACAGTCTTTTAGAAAGATCCATCATCAGCATTGTGAAAAGTAGATTGAACTGGTTCAAGACTGTTGTAGACAGGAAGACCATTAGAAGGCTTATTGCTTAATCAGGTGAGAGATGATGGTGACTTAAGCCAGGATTTAGAAATAATTTCATTCTAGAGAGATTTAGGAGGTCGACTCTTTTGGATTTGGTAAATAATTGGATATGGGGGAAAGGGAGAAAATCCATTCACTAAGGCAAGGAAGACAGGAAAAGCACTAACTAAGCAGAGGTTATTCCATTGAGCTTCCAATGGACAGCAATGAAGTCCCTTGAACTTTCTTGAAAGAATGAGGATGCTGTGTTGTTGTTTGCTGTTAGGTGCCATTGTCATCTCCAACTCACAGTGACTCTGTCTACAACAGAACAAAACACTGTCTACTTGTGTGCCATCCTCACAATCCTTGCTATACTTGAGTCCATCAATGCAGCCACTGTGTCAGTCTGTCTCATTGAGGATCTTCTCTTTTTCACTAAAGCATGACATCCTTCTCCAGGGAATGGTCCCTTCTGACAACATGACCAAAGTAGGTCAGACGAAGTCTGGCCATTTTCACTTCCAAGGAGCATTCTGAGTGCACGTCTTCCAGGATAGATCTGTTTGTTCTGCTGGCAGTCTGTGGTATTCTTCATCAACACCACAACTCAAAAGCATCAACTCTTCTTCAGTCTTCCTTATTCATTGCCCAGCTTTCACGTGCATATGAGGCGATTGAAAATACTGTGCCTTGGGTTAGGGTCACCTCAGTCTTCAAAATGAGATCGTTGCTCTTCAGCACTTTAAAGAGGTCTTTTACAACAGATTTGCCCAGTGCAACGCAGTGTCTGATTTCTTGACTGCTGCTTCAACTGGTGTTGATTGTGGATCCAAGTAATATGAAATCTTTTCTTCATTTATCATGATGCTGCTTATTGGTTCAGTTGTGAGGATTTTTGTTTTCTTTATGTTGAGGTGTAATCCATACTGCAGACTATAGTCTTTAATCTTCATCAGTAAGTGCTTCAAGTCTTCTTCACTTTTAGCAAGCAAGGTGTGTCATTTGCATATCACAGGTTGTTAATGAGTCTTCGTCCAATCCTGATGCCACGTTCTTTTTCATATAGTCCAGCTTCTCAGATTACTTGCACAGCATACAGATTGAATAAGTATGGTGAATGGATACAACCCTGATGAAGATGCTGGGTAATATATGACAATTGCATTGACAATTGCAATAATTCTAAGATACTATCTTAGAATAAATACTGAGCCATTTATATTCAAGCCCAGCATGTACGTATTTGCAGAATTATGCTATGGTGAAGGTACAGACCCAGGTGCTGTGTTTCTCCCAAGCCAGGTAAGATATCCACAGAAGCAAATGTGGACTTAGACATAGGTACTATGTAAGGGAGAAGAGAACAGAGTGGGATAGCCTAAGCAGCATGTCTTCACTGAGAAACTCTGAATTTGAGGATGTTATATGTGCTTTA